GATGCGGGACTCGATCCAGGGACTCCGGGATCATGACCTGAGCCGAAGGCAGTCGCTTAACCGACTGAGCCACCCAGGCACCCTGGTGTATAGGTGTTTTTTTTAAAAAAAATTAAAAAAACAAATTATATTATTTTTCTTACTATTTAAGTAATACATAATCATTGTAGACAAGATTTGTCTTACTCCACTTTGGATTTTTTTTTATTACTTCCACTAATTTTCTGAGCATAGCATTTTTAATTTTGTATATCCTGATAATTTATTTATTTTTATTCCCCCCATTGTTTAGTTTTCTCCCAACATTTGCTGTTACTGAGCATAAATTTCCATTTATATATATATATATATATATATATATATAAGCACCTGTTGAAGATTAATTCCTAGAATGGACACACTGGATCAGATACATAAACAACTTGAATATTGCCAATTTGCCTTTTAGAAAACTGACAATATTGTTCCCCTACTAACCTCAGTGTCTTTCAAGGTCAGGCATGAAACTCCAGAGTCAACAGTAGTCTCAGGTATAGGTTAAAGGGGAGAAAAGGTAGAATTGATGTATCTTAAAAATATCACCTTTCCCCTTGCTGTCACTTCACATGGATGGTACCCATTCTGTACATGTGTTCATGATTTTCCACCATGTGATCCTCTTCACTTGGATTGTGCTTGTCCATACAAGGCTGATTGTTTCAGAAGAGTTCATAAGAGCTCCTATTCATTTTTTGGCACTAGTTGTAACTACTCCTACCTCAGGTCTTAACCCAGGTATTTCTGGGAAACCTCCTTTGGACTGTGAGCCAGTTGCCCCCGCTCAGTGGTCCCACGGCACCCTGTTTTTCCTCTACCATTTATCCCCTTTGACAGTTGTCTTCAGGTTGGATTTTCCTATCCGTAGGTATGTCTTGCGGAGGCAGACACAATGCCTTTCTTGTTTATGGCTATACCTCCAGGGTCTGCCATGAACATACACTCTACAATGACTGTTGAATGAGGGCAGAATAAATGAATATCTGAGTGAAAGAGTACGTGAGCTTATATTTAAACCCCTTTCACGATTGGATGTGTGGAATTGCAGATATTAATAACTCAAAAGTCATACAGCTATTTAAACAGTGATCATCATATAACTGGAATGAGTATATAATTACCTTTCATTGGCAAAATAAAATAATTCAATTTATAATATCAATTCAACTTTGAGAGGGGGAAAAAGTCCCTTTCTGTGGAAAAACACATTAAAGTCTAGTTACAGCTGATGCTTTCTTAAACTATCTGGTTCATATTTCCTAAGACCTTCTTGGAAAAAATATTAAATACTTGGATGCTCTTAGCTTAAACTTAGATTCCTGTAAAGAAATAATGAAGTTTGAATTCCTTAGATAAATTGTTATGTCTCCATTATTAAGTATTAGAGAGAGGACTTTCTGGCTCCTTGAAATGGCTTTTATTCCTATGTATTTATTTTGCTGGTTTAAAAAAGGGAATTAATGATATTCTTTTTTTAAAAGGTTTTATTTATTTATTTATTTGAGAGAGAGAGAGGAGGAGCAGAGGGGGAAAGAATCTAAAGTAGACTGCATGGAGCCTGACGTGAGGCTTGATCTCAGGACCCTGAGATCATGACCTGAGTCGAAACCAAGAGTTAGGATGCTTAACCAACTGAGTCACGCAGGCACCCCAGAAACAATGATATTCTTTTTTTTTTTTTTTTAAGATTTTATTTATTTATTTGACAGAGACACAGCGAGAGAGGGAACACAAGCAGGGGGAGTGGGAGAGGGAGAAGCAAACTCCTCGCTGAGCAGGGAGCCCCATGCAGGGCTCGATCCCAGGACCCTGGGATCATGACCTGAGCTGAATGCAGACGCTTCACCGACTGAGCCACCCAGGCTCCCCGAAACAATGATATTCTTAAAGAGACTCAGAAATCACTATTTTCTAATTTCTTGATAATTATTCTATTAAGTTAAACATTTAAAGTTTATTTTCTCCTGAGAACTACAGAAAAAATAAAACCAAACTAAAGCCATCAGAGAAACCCCAGATTCAATCTGTACTTTGATTCATGAAAATAGAGAGAGGGACTGTTTCTGAACTCAGTGACTGAGGATTTCTGTTCAGAGAAATCCTTTCGTCGGTTGAGCAATGGAAATAAGTACGAATACTTTAAGAGAAGAGGTAAACTGATGAAGATTATTACAAAAAAATATCAAAATCAGCAAAATTCTATATTTAGCAAAGCACTAAGAGAATTGGCATACAGTTGTAGTTATTATGGATTAGACATTGATTACATTTCACAGCAGTACATGACCTCAGGTTGGATTTGCCCTTGTCTTCTGGGATCGAGCTCCGCATCGGGCTCCCTGCTCCGCGGGAAACCTGCTTCTCCCTCTCCCACTCCCCCCGCTTGTGTTCCCTCTGTCACTGTGTCTCTCTCTGTCAAATAAATAAATAAAATCTTTAAAAAATAAATAAATTATAATATAATGCCACAGTATGATTGAAAAATGTGGAAAAAATATGGATAATGCTAGCCAAAAGAAAATCAGGAGAACTGTATTTATATCAGAAAAGGTAGACTTTAAGAAAAAATAGTTTTTATGGT